AAGAGTGGCTGATTAAATATTTAATTAGATACAGATCTGAGAATAATTTTGTTGCACCATCAAAATAATTATTAATTACTCAAATTAGTTATTAAAAATGTCAAACCTTTTTGCAGCATTGTTCATCATGCTTAATTCGTACATAATTATTTTAATGGTCCGACAAAATTATTTTCAGATCTGTATCTAACTAATTTTTAGATACTTGAGCAAAATCGTTCTTTTCGCGTAATTATCCATAATATAATTAGTCTCTTAAAACTATATTACCAAAATGAAAACTGAAGCACTGCAAAACTGAAATTTGCGTATCCTTTTTCATTAAGAAGATTAGCAGCAACATTAAAACGCAAAGATAAAATTTGCCACGTAGGTACTATAATCGATGAATGCGATGTTTATACGTATTTGCGTAATTATCTATTTAGTAATAAATAGTAAATATGTGTTATTTATTAGTAAATGTTGAAGTTATACGGTAATAATGATTGAAATAACAATTAAAAAGTTTTTCAACGAATAAATCGGAGGATAAATCAGAGAGGATTCTCAGTAAGAGATCAACTACCTAAAAGTTTTTCCTGGGAACAAACTACTTTTTCCGGCGCGAGTAAACTTGTACTGGCAACGCCCCGGCCGTAAGAAACCGTTGTTTCCGCGACAAGATATCTTCTACGCTCTCAGAAACGTTCCCTGCAAATTCGACGAGTTTCTCGACAAGACGTTAGCCGTAAGAACCCAGTAGACCGACCCGGTTGTTCCTGACCTGGGCAATTCGTTACAACCCCTCGCCGCTCTCGTCGGCATTGCTCCTCCGTTACTCACACTTATAAGTATATACGCGATACTAATTTCCCAGGTCCCATGAAACCTGTGGTTGATTTCTCCGAATTCGTATTTTCCTAGCTTTTTACAATCGCACCGCACATTCAAGAGATAATATCATTACAACTTTACGAAGAAATTTATGATTCACTATCATCTCAATTATCTCAATTGGATACAAATATATGTTACACTGAACAAATTTATATCTAGACGTATAAGGATGACACATAAACAGCTTTATAAATTTAAGTGGAAAGGTAAAAATTTAATAATCGTTAGAAAAATGATTATTTCAAATTATTAAATACGTATTGTAAAATATTCGATAATCAATTTTCACATCATTTTGTCGAAATCGAAAACTTTATTTTATTTCTTACTTAAGTAATATTTACAATACCAATGCGCTGGCAGGATAGAAATACTTCCACCGTTTAAAAACGGGAAAACATAGCAAAACAAGACACGTTGCGTTCAGAGGCAAAATTCTGCTCGATCAAAGTCAATGGTAAATTTTGGATTTCTGCGGGCGATCAAGCCTGGACCATGCTTCCATTTTACATTTAGCTGTATCGGCTAATGAGATCCTCGCGACGTTCCCCGGAGATTATGGGTAATGCATTGCCGGAGGCTGTTCCCGTGCCGCGGCGTTTCGCTCGGCAAAAGTTACTCGACAACATTTTTGCTCGCATCGTAGTTATTAGTATTTCGTTCGGTGCTTCTGGCGGCTTTTGCACGGATTATCCGATTATTCAAATTCTCTTACCCTGCAGACGCGTTTGATAAAACCTTTTACCCTTGGAGACGTCGCACGAGCGGGAGGGAGGAGGGAGTAAGGCTTAATCATTCATGCTCTAATTCTGTACAGGACTTCAATCTCGGTATAAGAATTGAATTGCCAAAATAGACAATACGCATATTACTGTTCATATTCGCGAGACAAAGGGTTTGTTTAACCTCTTTAATGTCAATATGCCTCTTCGTAGAGCTCACCAGAATTTCTCAACGTTCTTGCCCCAAAATTATTTCCAACTAAATTGAGCTCTAAAATGTGCCTTCGCAGTAGGGCTATGCAAATTCCGTGCACATCAGTTAAAATCCGGTAATAAATGGAACCCATTTCAGGCGCGTGATTTCGGTGATAAAGGGAAAATAGTAACGTGCGGAAATGATCTCCTTTCCGAACGGTTAGAGGAGTTTCCTACTACAATAAACATTGGCGACGATGATAATAGCCGCTATGTAGACACATACATTCCGTAAATTGAAAATCGATATCGAAATCCTGTGCACTTTCAATGAGGCTTACGAGTTTCATGGGGTAAGAGCAAATAGTCTTCGATTTAACAATTTTTATAAAAGGACCCATTTCAAGCGAGAAGATGTGAGAAAAGCGGATTCCGATTGAGTGATATGAAGTAAAAAAGAGTGCAGCTGTTAAATGGACCGTTTGAAAAAAAGAAGGAAGAATCACCACGCGATTTGAAGTATTTTTATAACATATACACATTTCAACGGTTTGCATTTTTTTACACTTGGCTAATTTCATATGCAATAAATGAGATGTAATGCCTACGTTATATATGATAGATATATTGAAGCATTAAAACTGATCCTTAAATCATGAGATAAAAAATTATATTATATTTCCTGAAATTAATTGTTACATAGGATAATTCGTTCGATAATAAATAAATAATTTAACTGTTCTCTTAAGATATTTATGCGCGTTTAACTCTTAAGATCCTTTACTACATACGATGGATCATTCGTGTTCCAAATTAATTTTTATCACTTTTACAAGTATATTATACAAAATTATTAAATTATAAAAAATATTATATGAAATTGTTAAATGATTCTTATATACTTTAATATTTTTAGAAAATATTTGTAAAGTTGTATATTCAAATAAGAAAAGAATAAAGATCATTATTTGGCCAGGTGCTCCTAGTATTTCAAAGAAAGGAAATGCGCAGGACATGAATGATCGTGTGTACTAAGGATAAAATTTTCGTTCATTATTTACTTCGGTATACCTTTCCTTTGAAAAGGTCAAGGTTCTATACTGTTATACATACAACCGCAAGTACAACATTGAAAACCCATCGCTGATACATTCACTCGCTCCTTGATTCAATAATACGACAATCGTGGGCGATAGGCATCACTTACCGGTGTGCTGTTCAGCGTGAATGAGAGGTGAACCGGTGGCTTCGAAGGTGGCAGGCTGCAATTTGCCCTCAACATGTCTCCTGGGTCGTAGCGATCGCGTTCCGATACGATAATGGGCTCTTCACGGGGCAGAACTGAAACATAATAATTTCGCGGGTCTCTCTTATAGTCATTGTCGACGAAACTCGAGCACGGAGCGGCGGCGGTACGGGGAAGCGGGCGCGCGTAATCGCTCCGTTTCCCCGTGCTCGCCGCCGAACTTATCCAATATTCAAGCGCCAATGAGGAGACCCCGTTATGTCGCCAGCTTTATGCGCTTCCGTAGAGTACAATGGAGTACGTGTATTGCGTAATCCCGACGCCATCCTCAGAAGGCAGTTACGAACGCGTAACCGTGGAAAAATATTAAACGCGGTACGTGTGGATATTGATTTTACCATGGTAGCGCGAATCGAGTAAACGCGGGGCGTTGCACTGCAAAGACAATAGCGGCAAACTGAAACTGTGATTAAAAGCTTGTTTGTTCTGCAGCAAAATGAAGTGTCCGTGAATGAAACCGGCTATTGCCGCCGCACAGATATAACGGACCTGAAGTAATAAAGTAAACTTTGTATTGGAAATTCACTAATCGTCGCGATACTTCAAACAGAAAACGTAACACGCCGGAGTAATCTAATTTTCGAAGAATTGCAAACGTATATATATCAGATATCTCTGGTAGAACGAGAATCTCTTAAAAACTCAATAATTAATAAAATGATTATCAGTAAATTTATTAAAATCGATCTTGTTTAAAACGTATCGAAGTTACACTCAAAACAATGTATCTAATATATTTATAATAGCGGCTATTTGAATTTATTTATGTATAAATATCAAAATGCATAAATATGAAACATACATATACAGATTTAAATTTTGTTCGTTGCACAAATACTTTTGAAGAAATTGAATGTGCTGGAAACGGATCGTCAATTTACAAAGCACTTCAACTTTATCACTAAACTATCAAAGTTTAGAACGGCCGAAGGTATTATGTTATGCTTCTCTCAGAAAAAATTTTCCAAAAACGTTTTTTACGTATTTATAAGAATAATATCTTCGCTTGTCCATTATAGAATGCATTCATTACGCATACAAATGACAGTAAATGAAAATACGTGGATATATATATTATATTAAAAAATACTTATTTCAATCGTGTTTATTAGATAATTAAAATATGACGATTCGAATTGAAAAGTATATAGGGTGTCTCATTTTAATGTCCCACCCCAAATAACTTTTTTATTTTTGATCTTAGAAAAAAATGTTTCAGATAAAAATTGTATGGCTTTGAGGGGGACATAAGATGGTGTCATTAGTTTAGCCTTGAATAGTTGCTTGAAGGTCACGGTGGGATATTAAAATGAGTTATATCTTGTATATCGATTTCGACGGTCAATTTTTAGGTCAATATCGAGTGCTACTAGAAAATGATCACCGTTCATTTTATCATATGCTAATTAGTGATTCATGTATTCAGACTAACTTGCGCTCAAATTAAAGTAACTATAGAGCTTACTGTTAAATTATAACGGCGTATTTAGACATTCATCAAACCAATATTATAAATAATTTAATTCCTCGAATAATTTAGAAAGTCAAGTCTAACAGATTTCGGCATTATATGTTTTCCAATTAATAGAAATTTCTCAATGGTATCTATAATATATAAACTGTGTACATTAAACGAGAAAATTAAACACACATAGAATCTGTAAACACCTCTCGTGTATCATATATTCATATATTTAAGATATTTAATGCAAATCAAATCTGGTAATATTAACAAAATCACATACGTTACGAAAAAATTACGTTATGAGAGGTCAATTCATTCACATGATCGAATTAGCTGTACAGAGTTAATAAAATAATATTGATAAATATAGAAAATATTCCGAGATTTTCAATCGATGCACTTCGATAAAGCGTTATAGTATCCACTCAACTTGGACTTTTCGATTACTCTCACGTTCTTAACTACGAGTTTCGTATATGTGTACTTTATACAGCGAAGCACTTGAAGTCAGTGTACTTGAGATGAAACCGGAAGCTATTGCTGGTAAGTCAAGTGAAAGGAACAACCGTGAAATCTCCTAAGCTCTGCTCGAGGCGACGATAAACTGACGACTCGCGAAACGATAGAACGATTAATCGAATCCCGGTTACGTTGCCACGTTTTGTCAATGAATAGTATCGCACAAAAATCGATAAAGAAGCACGATAAGAATGCTGCTGCTATTCCTCGCGCAATACGAATTCATGAATGGCTGATATTTAATATTGGATCCTGTTGTATGAAGAAAAATAAAAATCTGAGACGTTCAGAAAAAGTTTATAATGCAGAACTCCCTTTGTCTGGTAATAAATTAAACGTTATTCGAATATAAAGTATTCCTGAATTATGATATAACTAAAATTACATGACGTAACATATTACCGAGCACAGGAAATTTTCAGTTTTATTTTCTTCTTATTAGCCAAAGCTTTATTACCGTCTATTGTTGTAAAAAAAATCATAATGACTTGTACTTTTTCCTAGAACTTTTATTAAAAATAACAGAATAAAGAGTAGAGAGAAAAAATAACCGACGCGCAATTGTTAGATATCGTAAAAGAATTACACGATAAAACTTTTACTGTGACATAAGAAAAGTCTATTTATTTTGTGCCGAGTTTTCCCTGTTATATTTAAGTAAATTTCGATTAAGTACGTTTTGATATCGATTTATTACTGCGGTGCAAATTTTAACACGATGCCATTACGATACAAGAAAATCGATATGAACGAAGGGAAGTAACGTTCAGGAAAATTTAAGTAAGGAAATAATTTTCATTTAAGCATGTGAAAACTGTAGAACAAAATTCGTTTACCCTACGAACATTTTGCAATGTTATCGTAATATACGAAATTCATGTCCTGTCCGAAGTGCGGATAGTTCCGCTCTACCAGAGAAGATTCCCTGTTTGAATTTGAATATTAATAAAGAAAGATCCGCAGATATTATGTCTCTGCCATTCGTAACGAATTATAGGCACCATCGTGATCGATGAAAGATTGCGTGGTAGAAATGGAATTTTCGCAGATTACTATTATCGCGTTGAATAATCTTTCAGTATGTCTATCACTCTTGTACAAAATTCGTTAATCATGTAAATTAGAAAATATATATCAGAATTGTTTTGCAAGATAGTAATGTACCTACTGCAATTAAAGCAAAGAGTAAAAAGAAAATACTACAGAGACAAGTTTTCTACGAAGACTGTCTGCTGAAAAATAGATGTGATGCATTTACAGTAACTCGGTGAAAAAGAGGAAACTTTTAAATATTTGACGGGAGCACCGGGAATAGATGGAAGAACAATAAAACCTAAAATGTTCTGTTGGAAAAAGAAAAGATAGGAATGCAGTAAGGCCGATAATAATTATGAAACAAAAAAAGGGATTTCAACAACATTTACATGGAAAATAAATATACTCTAAGGAAAAAGAACTGATTAGTGTTTCAATAAATTGATTAGCATCACAGTAACTGATAAAATATTATTAGTTACCGTATAGATACAGTTTATTGCAACACTAATCAGTTCTTTTTCTTAAGAGTAAGCAATAAAAATATTAAATTAATTATTTAATGTTAAAAAATTCATGTGACGTTCCGTTTTCCACTAATTAATTACTAAAAGCAATAAAGCCCTTTTATAAATATATATATATTATATATAAAATACCTTCCTGCATAAATATGCCTTGCTTCACGTGAGTTACCATTTGCACAACCATAAACAAAGTGACAAAGTCAAAGTCATAAAATCAAAAATAGACTTCAGTTCTGATGTTGCTGCGGATCAGTTAGCTTGTACATACGTTTTCGGGCCAAATTGTTTCAGTTCATCAAAATCGCAAGGTGGACATTTTCAACAATTCATCTAATTGTTTTATTTCATCAGAAGAACTGAAGCCTGTTTTTCTGTTTTTGACTAGTTTTTGACTAGTTCAAGTTGTATTTCTTTCAAACAAATAGATTATTACTACACATTAAAATTTTTTTATTTCAGAAACTAAGCCGTTTAGGACACATGTTTATATGGATTTTTTACTTGAAATAAACCAAAGAATCGCTCTGCTGAATATGGCAATATACTTAACTAACACTCTGTATATATAAATTTGATATAAAAATAAAAAATTAAAGACTACTCTATTCTTGCTTCGTAATGTAAAACCACACTAATTTAAAAACAGTTGAAATTTTAAAGTATATAGACTGATTTAGAAAAGTCTCATTGCAAAAGAATGCACTGCATCGCTTCATTCATAAACAAATATTACTCGAAATTTATATATTTACAAAAGTTTTTATTTGCTATCACTACAAAACATTTTCAAAGTATTTTATATAAATGCATTCGCTTGCGTTTGATGGTTGGGATATTGGATGATATGACTGATTCTTGAATTTTGCAGATTGAAATGGCTAACGGTTGCCAGAAATTTCGACAACCATCGCGCATCATTCAATCATCAATCTTGTTCTCCGCTTATCGGAAGTCAATTTCAAAGTTGGAATGGTATACTACTATACTATATACAAATTTTTGGTGACCGTCCATATGTTTCCATAAATGAAAAGATTGCCAATTAAACGTGACATATTTTTTCAATTAAAATGACGATAATAAATATATACAACAGTTAATTAGCACAAAATTCTCGCTTGGTTATTGTTTAAAAATATCTTTTATATAAAATAATTAAAGTAATAAAAAATATAAATTTTGACACAGCATAAATATAATTGTATATTAAAACTTCGATTTATGTACCTAACATTTTATCGGATGTCTCTGTCAAGAAAATTTTTCTGTCTCTTAGTTATCAAATTAAAAACTATTTTTTTTGTAATAAATATAATAAATTAAGCTGTTTAATATCACATATTACGTAAAATAAAATATTAATAAATTTTATATTTAAATTTATTTTTGTTGTAAAAAAATATTACAAAAATCGTTATCGTAGTAGGAGAGAAAAAATTTAATTAAGCGCGTCCAATAAAAGTGTTAAAAGCGCCGGGTAACGTAATGT